GCGCGGCCCCGCGGCGGCGCCGTCGAGCGGCGGCACGTGTTTGGGCGCAGGCGGCTGGTGCCGCGGCTCAGGGACTACGTCTGCTCGCCTGCCTTCCTAGATGCTTTCAAGCAGGTGAGTGCTTATCTCTTGTTCTGCGGCTCCGCGACCCCCGGGTGTGGGTCTTGGCATATTTCTTTTCGCAATGTTTGCATTGCTAGAGTGATCTTTTTTTATTTTTCTCTCGCTGACGCATACTTACTTCTTTCCATCCCCCCGTCTTACAGGCAGAGGCGAAAGTGAAGCAGCAGGCAAAGAGCAAGGCCGACGCCGCGGAAAAGACCAAGAAGGAGAAGGCTACGGCGCGCAAGGCCGAGAGGGACGCGGCGAAGCAGGCCGCCACCGCCGCCATGACCAAGGGTCAGTGGTTTTGAGCCCTCCCTCCGAGACCCTTCGGATGGAGGAAGGGCACATGACGAGTTGGTGGGTCAGATGGTCAGATCAGGGCACCACGCGCGCACAAGGGGGGAGAGATCTTGTTGCTTTCTGATGACGAGACTGTGGTTCATGTTTCTCCAAAGTCCTATATTTAGGTGTAGTGGGTGAAAAGGGGTGGTGTTTGACAGCTTCTCTCGCAATACAGTGGCAGATGTGACAGATGTGGTGCATGGCGAGCGCAGGCATCACGCACGCACGAGGAGAAGTTTCGTCGCCATGCCTCCAGTTCATGTCACATCGCGAACTTACTGCGGGGTCGGGTCGATCCCCCTTTCTGGCATGGTCCTCTCAAGCCCGTTGAAAAGATGGAAACTAAGCGTGATGCGGCTCCGCGGACTCCCATTACGCCCCATGGCCGTCAATGCCATCCCACCCGTGGGGCTCCGTCAACTTCCAGATGGCTGTGGCAGGGCAAAACCTACAGGCAGAAGAAGGTGCTCGTGGGGCGTCTGCGGCTTGGCGGCACAGTGGCTCGTCGGAGTCTATGACAGAGAAGCGCCGGAGCGGCTGTCGGAGTTGACGTTTACGTCTGGCAGTCGAGTGGCCCGTCAGCCAACCACACGCTGCCCTCAAGGTCCGATGCGGCGGCGTGCACCCGTAATCGCTCTCGATTTGCCAGCGCCCGGGCGGAGAAGCCCAAAATCCGGCGTAGGGAATGAGTCAAACCAACGCCTGGCCAAAGCCGCCGCTCATACAGCCTCGACCGCCTAGAAAACCAGCAATTTCGGCGTGCCCAGGGATGGCCAACCTCCGTACTTAAACGTATCTTAGCCCAGACAAACCTCACAACACGCCCCAAAACAGCCAGCACATCCGAATCCGCCAACAATGCCCGCAACCATCCACCTCGTCCGCCATGCCCAGGGTTACCACAACTTGCCCCGAGAAAAGGGGGGTCCGGATCCGCACATGCTGTCGGACCCCGAGCTGACGGAGCTCGGCAAGCAGCAGTGCGCCGACCTCTGCGCGAGCTTCCCGCACCACGACAAGATCACCCACCTGGTGGCGTCGCCGATCCGCCGCACCGTCTACACGGCGCTGCTGTCCTTCAGGCCCGCCGTCGACGCGGGCAAGGCCGTCAAGGCGCTGCCCGAGGTCCAGGAGGTCAGCTCGCTGCCGTGCGACACGGGCAGCGCGCCCGATGTGCTGGCGCGCGAGTTCGACAGCAAGCTCGACCTGGCCCTGGTCAAGGACGGCTGGAACGACAAGAGCCCCAGTTCGCCGTTCGCGCCCCAGCTCTCCAAGCTGAAGGCCCGCTCCAGGGCTGCAAGGGTCTGGCTACGGGACCTGGCCGCCCGGTTCGGCGGGGACCCTCACATCGTTGTCGTCACCCACGGCGGCATTCTTCACTTCCTGAACCAGGACTGGGACGGCATGACGAAAGAAGCCGGTAAGCTGAGCAGTTCCCCATTCCCACCTTGCCCCCTCCAACTTTTCCTTTGCTCGCAACCAAGGCCGTGGAAAGGCACGCGGACGAAGCCCGCAGGTTGCAGATCTTTCCGTGGGCGCCATCTTGCTTTTCATGTATGATCCGCCGCCCCACAGGGCCTTCTGTCCCGCCGAGTGAGGACCAGGAGGTCCCGGGACAGTCTTGATGGTGGGGGCACGTCAGTTTCAGCCCCTTGTGGAGAAAAAAGCGTCAAGAGGCAAAAAGAAAAAAAATCGAAACCGCATGCTGCTGACGTGCGGCGCACCAAAACCTCGACGTGGTTTACCTTCGCCTGTCAATGTCTCGTTTGCTAAAAAGTCGCCACCAGGAACCGGGTGGAAAAACACCGAATGGCGCTCTTACGAATTCGTCGACGCCTCTGGGGAGGACCCCGACGCCAAGCTCCGGGAGACGAGCGCAAGCTGGGAGCGGCGCCGTGGCAGCGCGGCGCCGCTGAGCGAGACGGAGCTGGAGGAGCTCGCGGCAGCTCACATGGACGAGATGCAGGAAGAGCTGGACAGAGTCGAGGTTCTCAGGCAGGCCCGCGAGGCCGAGAGCAAGAAGCACTCGGGCTAGGCAGTGCCCTGCCTAAAGCCAAGCAGGGACTGCGTTGATGACATGGAGGCCCAGCGGTCCACATGCCGTTTGTTTCCGTGCCAAGAGACTCATCAATGCCCGGGCGTGTTCCCAGCTGCGGCGCCAGCGCGAGGTTGAGCGCTTGCAAGGGAAAATCCTGGACTGCTGTGGAGACCATGACGGAAGCCGCTGATGGGGGATGCAACGCCGGCTTGGCTGTTGGGGGAGCAATCGTAGAGCACACACGCGATAGAAGGGCACACCTTGGATAGAGCCATAAACCAGACGGAGGCCGGATAGATGGTATGCATCGACCAGAAAATAGACACGGAATGCCTTGATCTCGTCTGACCACGGCGGGAAATCCCGTCCATGACAGGCTCAGAGGCGGCGGCGCTCGGATCGATCGACGTGCAGATTGAGGAGTGGCACGAATGCGTCGCGCGTCAACTGAGTCTGTCTGCATGCAGCCGCCAGCAGTGAGCGGCAAGCTATGAACAACCCACCAAGACAACGTGCCAGCCCGCGCTTACAGTCGACGGGCCAGCGTCTGGCAAAGATGGGCGATTGATGATTTGACGCATGTCGTTTCTCGCAGCAACCTACGCACCTGGTGCGGCAGAATACAAGCAGATCGCATGGTGGCCCTCCCGCAAAAGCCAAGCCGATTCTATCGCGGTCCCAGGATTCTTGTCCCGACAAAACGTTTGACCGTGGCCCGTGAGTGGCCCACCGTTATCCAGCGGCCAGGCCAGCCTAGGGGGCAGGGCGACCCTACCGACCTCGATGAAGGGGCCGCCAGCTGGGAGCGGCTGGTTGGCTGGCCGTGCCGGCGGCGTGCTTCAAGTTCAAATTGATTTGGGCTGCGATTCTAATTGTTTGCAGCCAATCCCGACGGCCGAACGCAGAATGCAGGAGACAAAAAGAGAAAGCGTCAACAGAAAAATGCAGGGAGGGGCGGCACGAGGCCCAGTCCCCCAACGACCAATTGGGAACGCGCGCGTACGGCTAGCTAGACACAAGCACCAACCAGCCTGCTAACCAAATGCAAAACGGGAGGCCCAGCACGCAGCACGCGCAGCTTCATAACGCGACTAGCTCCGGATCCGGCTGTTGGTTGGGTGCCCTGGGAGCCTGGGTACCTGCATGGCGTTTGCAGTACACAGGGACAGGGCCTATGTGCAAAGGCCATGGTCCACAGCTTTCGAGGTCTCAGCGCCCCCGGCGGTTCGATGCGTTGAGTTTTTGTTCTGCACGCGCCGCTTTGGACCCTGAGACCGTGCATGTGTGTGTGCTTCTTTCGTTCAATATCAATTGACTGATCCTGGTCATCCTGCCTCTTCCATCTGCCACGCGCTTTTACCAGACCTTTTTTACCAGACCTGGCCCAAAGGCATCCGAGCTTCTCCGCGCTGGCGATTCAAGGCAGGGTCCTCCGATCCACCCCCACCATCTAGCGCAAATTTGGCCGTCATCTTATTGTGAGCCAATTGATGTCAGTCAGATCTCAATGGGTGCTGGGGAGGCAGCCCGTGGAAGGCTGAGGTTGGCCATGAGCTTTGCGCGAAATGCCCAGGTGCCGAGCTGGTCTGACGGCCCACCTCGCAGAGTCGAAGTGCTGTTTAATTGGATGGCAGGGTAGCATCGAGGAGACGCGGTTTCATGCATGCATGCTTGATCCTATCCCATCCCGCCGAGCTTGCCCTCCCTCCCTCCCGCGCCTCCGTGCCCGTCCTCCATTTTGTTTTCTTCCTGCCATGTCCAGCGAACGTCGACTAGACGGTGCTTGTTACCTACTACCTCTTACCTGCCTAGTGGCGCCTTGTCAACTGTGCCCGTCCGTTCCTTCTTCTTTGTCGCAACCCCTCCAATTTTAGAAAACCGAACAATACCAAGCAACTGGAGGCGTCGCAAGAGCTAATTGAGCCTCAAGACCCTCACAGTCGTCCCTCGAAGCATTATCCAATACCTTTAATCGCCCCATCGCCAGCCACGCTCTCTTGTGCCTGATTCCCGAGTCATTCTTTCCATTCTCCTATTGTGCCTGACCCGACCTCCCGCACTGCATCATATTCTCCGCTTTTTTCGAGACACAAACCTAGTGACGTCCGCCCAAGCCGAACAGGCCTTACTCGGCATCCCCAGTCTGTCGAGAGCAGGGCTCCGAAGAAACCTCATAATCCAGCGTCCCCGGGCACTTGCCCCCGTCCCCCCCCTCCCGCGCAACAACCACTCTGTCGAGCATAGCAAAAGTCGCCGTCTCTCTACTCCCGCCTGTCACTACCAGACCTCGCGTCTCCGATCCTCCTCGGCCGCAACCGCCATCGACTTGTTGATCGACACGAAACCGTCCCCAGTCTCCACCACCCGCCAGCGACCAACATGCCAAACTGAGAAACACACGCCACACCTCCTCCGGTGCCTGTCTCAAAACTCGGGGTGTGCGCCCTCCCCCGGTCTCCCCTGTGCGACCAGGGACCATCCGTGCGCCTCGATCGCTGTCTACCCGCCCTCGTCCGCTCTGGGACTTCTATTCTCGTCCCGTCTACCTCGTTTTTTTTCACAGCCACCGAGCTGGTTCTTTATCGCCATCGCCGTCCTCCTCCTCGTCAATAACAGCACAGTCGGCCATCCCGCAGGCCGGAAACGACTTGTGCAGACGGCGGGACCGGTCTCTCACTCTCACGGCACTCTATTCTCACTCTCCTTTGACAATTCTTTCCTTTGCTCGTGGGCTTCGGCACCACTTTCGACCTTGTATTATCAATTTTTCTCCTCTTTTTTTTCTCTCTTCTCTCCTTTCTCTTGTTTTCGTAGGCCGTGATATCCTTGAGAGGATATCACCGGCCTCCTTTCTTTTTCTATAATGGGTTGTGGAGGCAGGAAACAGCACGCCGAGGTGCGCCCGGAGCAAAAATGGGACTACATCGTGAGTTGCACACCTGCCTCGTTTTCCCACCTAGATGGCGCTTTTCGGCGCGCTGACGGCCCTCTAGAGCTTGACCGACTTCAAGTCGACGTCCTGCTGGGCCCCCTTCGCCTATGGCTACCTCTACGTCTCGCTCCTCATCTCAATGGCAGTCTACAGCGTCGATAGCTTTACCGCCGTCAATCTGCTGGCCTTCGACAAGTGGCCCTCGGAGCTGCAGCCCGCAGTCGGCCTCGAAGTCTCCAAATGGATCTTCTCCGTCTGCATCATACTATCCTTTCTCAATCTCGCGTACGAGCACATCCGCGCCCAGAGAGTCATGAACAGAGGCAGCGTCGCCGAAAGCTACCTCGACAACTTGGCCGTCCGCCTCGAGAGCATCAAAATGGGCAAGGGCAGGGGCTGGAGGAGGTTTCTGGTCTTCGCTGAGCTCACCAAGAGCAAGAAGGGTGCCGAGTACGCGGCGCTGTTCACCTACTTCAGCTTCCAATGTAGGCTCCGCTGCATCTCGACCATCCTTGGGCTTCCCCTGCGACGATTAAATGCTAACAGTCATGTTATTTCCAGCCTGGTTCCGCGTCATCGTCTGCTCCGGCCCGCGCCAGGCAATCAACGCCATGACCCTCTGGAAGGTCTACAACAGCAAGCTGTCCGCTCAGATCGGCCCCGATGTTGGGAGGTCTATCTTGAGCTTCTTCCAAAAGATTAAGATCCTGGCTGAGACCGAGACACGGCTTGCTCTCATTCTGTCGGGCATGTTGTTCACCCTCGTCATCTGGGTGATTTCGATGCTAGCCCTCATATCGGCCGTCCTCATCTTCATCTTCTTCCTTTGGGCCTACGTCCCCTCCGAGGATGGGTCTCTCAGCGCGTACTGCTCCCGGAAGATTAACAAGCGTTTGATGGCGATCGTGTCGGAGAAGGTCAACAAGGGCATTGCCGAGGAGGAACGCCGGAGGAAGAAGGCGGAGCTCAAGGCCGCCAAGAAGGCGGGTGAGCGCCCGCCTGAGGAGCTCAAGGCCACGCTGCCCGACATCGGCGACGACAAGCTCCCAGCGATGCCCGTGCTCTCTCGATCCGACACGATGGCGACCCTCCCTGCGTACAGCTCCCGCCCTGGTACTCCGGGCGACTACGAGCTGAGCCAGTTCAACGAGAAAACTCGCATGCCTCCCTCTCGAACCGCAACCATGTCGTCATCAGTCAGCTCCAGAGCGCCTCTGATGGGCACCGCGGCCGAGTTTGGGCGATCGGCTTCCCCGGCTCCGACCCTTCCCAAAATGGACCTGAACAACTACCCTCCTGTCCGACCTGAAACTTCATCGTCGATGAGGGGCTACGGCCCCCCACCTCCCGGCCGCATGGGGCCCAACGGGGCCCTCGGAGGCGGCTACACGGCGAGTCCCGTCCCATACTCGAGCGAGACTGTGCCGCAGCTGCCCCGCCCTGCCATGGGCTACCACCGGCCGCAAGGGAGCAACGGCTCGATGGGTGGGTTTTCCCAATACAACTCCAACGACCGCGCCAGCCCTGCCCCCTCGATGCCTCCGCAGAGGGGCCCTACTCCGGGACCTATGTCGCAGGGTGGCGGTTACCCGCAGCGTAGTGCCACCAACCCAATGCCTCCACGGGGCCCTCAATTCCCTCAGCCCCAGAGAAACATGACAGCCCCACCAAGGCAACATACGCCTGCAAACGATTATTACAACAGCATGTCACCGGGACCGGGAAACCGAGGTCCTCCACCGCCTCGTGGCGGCTACGGGAACGGCAACGGCTGGAATTCAGATCTGGAGTCGCAAGGCGGCCGTGGTCCCAGATACTAGGTGTTTCGTCGAACGACCATGGTATCCTACTATCGCTACTACTGGCCAGGGCGCCGGTAAAGGCTGGATAAAGCCAGGTTGGATCTGTTTTCTTGCGTCACAGCACCCGGGCTGCATATAACCGGGCTGAGTTCTAAACACACAAGATATGTATTACTGCAATGGTATCCTCTGACTCGTATTAAAAGCTCTCATCATCTTCCTTGCCAATGCTGTGATTGTTCTCAGGTCAACCACAGTCGCTGCACAGCGACACCTAGCAAGCAGTATCTCAATGCTGCTAGCCAAGTCCAGGCTCGTCGTCTGCGGGGTTTGGCGCGTACAGTGGAGGGTGGGTGACTGGGCAGCGGCGTTTGGGAATATGTCCAGCGCTGCTGATTCATCACTTCACATATTGGGCCCTTCCCCGCTTACAAGCGGACTAATCGGGTATCTTTCCACGACCTGCTCTCGACTTCTTTTGCCGGAAGTTGTACCCAACTGTTTCCAAGCTGCGTGCTGGCCTTGCCATGTGCTTCACAGTGGCCTCCTCGGCATTTGCTAGCAAAAACCTAGCGCGATGCGCGAGGGAGGACTGCGTTGGGAAACGGGCGGCCACGCCCCCTTATATCCGTCGCCCGCCCGCGCTTTAATGTCGTCACGAGTCGTCGGCACTCCCTAGCATGCCCGCCAACCAAACCAAAGCCAGACACGGCACCGCCCTCCTTCTCCTGACCCGAGCCCTGCAGCAGCAGCAATTCGGCGGCTTCTACCTCTCCGACATGGCGGCAGTGCACTTGGAGCTCCAGTCATCCGAGGACCAGTGGAGCGCCGGCGAGCTGGCCCTGCACCGGCTGCTCCGTGTGCCGACCCCGAGGAACAACCCCACGGCGCACGGGCTGGCCCCGCACCACGCCGCGCGCGTGCACGAGAACCACCTGCTGGCCGTGGGCGCCCTCGACGGCTCCGGCCAGCCGTGGACGTCCATCTGGGGCGGCGAGCCCGGGTTCGCGGGGCCCGTCGCCCCGGGCGTGCTCGGCGTCAGGTCGCTCGTGGACAAACGACACGACCCCGTCGCCCGGGCCCTGCTCGGCCACCTCGCCGAGGGCGAGATCCTCGACGGCGCTTCCTCCACCTCCTCCGCCGGCGTCGCCGGCCTGCCCTTTAGCGCGCTGAGCATCGACTTTCGGAGCCGCGACCGCGTGAAGCTGGCCGGCAGGGTGGTTGCAGGCGTCATGAACAAGCCCGACGGCGGTGCAGACGCCGCCGCCGCCGCCGCCGCCGCCGAAAAAGAAGAAGAATCCGGCGTGGGCCAGGTGCAGCTCGCCCTGGCGGTGCTGGAGGCGCTGGGCAACTGCCCAAAATACATCAACCTCAAGGCCGTCCGCCCGCACGTGCCGCGGCCCGAGCTCGCGTCGGACTCGCTGCCGCTCAGCCCGCGGGCGCTCGAGATCCTCGAGCGCGCCGACCTCTTCTTCCTCTCGTCCTCCAACGGCAAGGGGCAGATGGACACGAACCACCGGGGCGGGGCGCCGGGCCTGATACGCGTCGTGCGCAACAAGCCCGCCGGTGGCGACGACGGCGACGGCGGCGGCGGCAGCGGTGGGTCATCCGAGGTCGTGCTCGCCTACCCCGAGTTCTCGGGCAACCGCCTGTACCAGTCGCTCGGCAACCTGCACCTGGACCCGCGCGTGGGACTGGCCGTGCCCGACTTTGCGTCGTCCGACGTCCTGTACCTGGCCGGCACGACGCGGCTGCTCGTCGGGGCCGAGTCGGCGGCCCTGCTGCCGCACACGAGGCTCGCCGTGCGCGTCGACGTGACGGCCGCGCGCCTCGTGCGCGACGGCCTGCCGTTCCGCGGCGACGTCGTCGACTTTAGCCCCTACAACCCGCCCGCCCGCCGCCTGGCCGACGAGGTGGCCATCGTGCCGGGCAGTGGAGCAGGGGGGGTGGGGATGACGGCGACGCTCAAGAGCCGCGAGATCCTGTCGCCGACCGTCTCGCGCCTCACCTTCTCCCTGCGGAGCGACCAGCACGGCGTCGCGCCACCATTACCACGGTGGGGCCCAGGCCAGCACGTCACGCTCGACTTCTCGGCCGAGCTGGACGTGGGGTACAGCCACATGCGCGAGGAGGACCCGCAGAGCCTGAACGACGACTATGTCCGGACCTTTACCGTGTCGAGCCCCGCGCCGGCGGCGGACGGCCTGGCGAGCGAATTTCAGATCACGGTGCGGAGGCACGGCCCCGCCACTGGCCTGCTCGCGCGCTGGAACACCAGGGTGCCGCTCGAGCTGCCCGTACTCGGCTTCGGCGGCGGCGGCGGCGGGGCGGGTCTGGAGATACCAGTTGGTGATGCCGGGGCGGCGGCGGTGACGGCGGTGTTTGTGGCGACGGGCGTGGGCATCACGCCGCTGCTGGCCCAGGCTGGTCGGATATTACAGCCGCAGCAGCAGCAGCAGCAGCAAGGGGACGGGGTCGTTGCGGGCAAGCTGGAGGTGCTCTGGAGCCTGCGGGCCGAGGATGTACCGTTTGCGCTGGATTCGTTTAGGAGGATACCAGGACTGGCCGGCGTCACCCGCCTCTTCATCACCGGCAAGGCGCAAGATGACGAGTCGCAGACGGACGAGCTGAAGGGCCTCGGCGCCGCAGTGGTGCAGGGGAGGATTTCAAAGGATGCGCTGCTTGCTGCCGGGCTGGGCGAGGGGGCGTCGCGGAAGTATTACGTGTGCACGGGTCCGGAGGCGGCCAGGACCATTGCCGGCTGGTTGGAGAAGGAAGACGTGGTAACGGAAAGCTTCCAGTACTAGACGGCTCTAGCTATTTCATCAGCCACTATAACAAAGGTGGCACGATACTTGGCATTCATTGTCTCTACCAGCCTGGGTGCCTTAACTATCTGTCTGCACAACCTTATCAGATCCACCGACCATCACCGTCGCCCCTATGAACCATATCCTCAACCGTCCTCCCCGCCCCAGGCCCCCCGCCGCTCCCGGCGGTCACGTCCCTGTAAATTTCCACCCCGTTCCGCCTCCGCCCCCTCTCCAGCCTGGCCCTCGCGTGCAGGCTGCGCCAGAACACCTCCATGAGCGGGCCAAAGTCCTCGTCGACCCCGTCCAGCCCCCGCTCCGCGTCCCGGATCGCGGCCCGGACGCGCTCCAGCCCCTGCCGCCTCGGATCTACGCCAACACCCCCACCACCACCACCACCCCCACCACCACCACCACCCCCACCACCACTGCCAGGATCGGGCCGCAGCGACGACGACTGCGGCGAGGGCCCCGTGTTGCAGCGCGCCACGGCGAGCAGGTCCCAGGTCAGGCGGTCGCGCTGGCCCTGCAGCTGGCGCAGCTGGGCCTCGCGGGACCGCCGCTCGCACAGCAGCGAGCCGAGCCGGCCGAGGATATGGTCTAGCGCGTCGGCGTCGGCCTGCAGCCAGGAGGGTGTGCCGGCATCGGTGGGTATGGTGTCCGATCCCCGGAGGGTTGGCGCGGCAGACGGCGGGCGGGCGGACGGGTCGCTGGGGTTGTGATAGTGACGCATTTAAGTCCTTTTGGTGAGAAATTGGACGCGGAACAGTGATGCTTTTATAGATAGCAAGCAGAATGTTGGGGACGAATTGTTTATATACAGTTTAAAGACTTGTTCGATTTGGTCAGAGTGACAGTTTACAGGCCATGGACGTGATAGCAAAGGGCCAGTCATAATTCCGTACTTCAAGCATTCATATCAACTCGAATGCCTTTGACGACACTGTCAATCGAGAGTAACTAAGCTATGTGGTATCTATATACGCGCTCCGTTTTCATATCCTTTCCAAGCAAAAAGAGCCCAAAATGCCGCTATTTAGAGAAAAGAATATTGCCAAACCCAAATACGCCGGGGTACTCCTGAACCTAAATGTCCAATATTAACTGTTGTTCCATCCAGACCCAACTGATTCGTGTTGTCGTGCTTCCGTGATCCATATGCAAAGGGAAAAATAAACATGAGGAGTGATACATGGTCCGAAGGTAAATGCAAAGATAGATGGCCGAGATGGAAAACGTCTCTAGATCAGAATATTCGACTCGTCATGACGTCGTCGGGGTCGTGGTGCGTCCGCGTTCTGCCCGAGGGACGAACTCGCAACTGGGAGAACGGCACCCGGAACACCCCGAGGGGGGAAGCCCTGCTGCCCCCGGCGGGGCGCGGCCCATAAGGCGACGTGCCTTGAGCAGCCAAGGTGGGCGCGGGCGTGAAAATGGTGAAGAGCGTGACTGGGCCGCCGCCTCGGTCAATTGTCGTCGACTATTGAGGTCTCGCCGCTGCTCGACGTGGTGGTGGCGGTGACGCTGTTCCTCGCCATCATGACTAGCCTGTAGATGCCAAAGGCGATGCCGACCAGGATGATGAAGATGATGATGACGATGATGGCAATAACGTCGTTTGGCTTGACCATGCTGGGCGACGGGCTCGCGCTCGAGCCGGCGCTGGCTTGTGTGGTGGGTGGCGGAGGATGGTGGTGGTGACTATCGCGGCGACGGAATGCTGGCCGAGCGTCTAAGCGGTCTGTATCTGCGGCGGGTCTCTGGAATGAAGGCGGTGATGGTGATGGTGGCGGTGACAGTCAAGCTTGCGAGCCAAGCGTGCGTGCCTTGTCTTGTCTGGTGGTCTTGTCGGGCTTGATCCTGGGAGGGAGGGGGAGAGGCCACAATAGTGCAATACGGGTTGTGTCGTGCGAGATAACTGGAATGCAATCACTTCGGGACATGGCGAAAAGGCGGCATGGGCTTGCAGTTGCCAGGCTGATATAAGGCGGTTGCCCAGCCACCTGGATGCGCCCAAGTAAACAAAATCGCAATGGCTGGGAGGGGGAGCTCCAACCACCCTCAAAAAACCGGGCGGGGCAGGGGTAAAAGTGGATACCCGACAGCCCACCAGTGCCTGACAGGGCCCACGTTCGCTTCTGCAATTGGCCCGACGGGCTCTCCAGCCACTCCTTTTGGTCGCAAGCCCCTGCTCTTTTTTTAGACGTGACTCTTCCCGGCCCAGAACGTCACGTCACTCAGGCCAGGCATTGCAGGGCTCGGGATTGCAGGTATTCCAAGATTGGGTATTCTATCGCAAGGTCACTTGGGAGACTAAGCATTTCTATTGAGAGCTTGATTGCAGTATCTGCTATCAGTCATTTTTCTTGCCGATTCCTAATCTCAATTATTATTGCCTGAACAGTATTGTTGCTGAACTTGTCGTTCGTCCGAAAAAAAGAAACTCCACGATGCATGTTCAAATCGAAACATGATCCAGACCCAAGCTTCCGTTGTCAATATGCATCACCAAATGCAGCCCGCCCACAAACAGCCTCTACACTTCCTCGGCGACATCACATGACCGAGATTGTGTCCGCCACTGTCGCTCAGTCCATCACTATACTCACAATGCCGGCCATGGAACGCCGTGGGTGGTGACACACATGAGGCTTGGGGAGGCCAGCTGTAGGAATTTTAGTTCAAGCCCAAAATCAACACTGTCTCGCTTTGCCAGTAGGCAATGCGAGAGAGCTAAACAAGTCCGAAATAAACGCCATGAATGCACCCCAAAAGCTCAGAACCGTGTCAGTGATATCTTGTGATTACATTTTGCATTTGTTGTTAAGTCCCGAGTTTTAATTTATGTTGAGGTGGTAAAGTTGATCTTTGACTCGTAAAACTTGAGCATCTGTCATGAGAACCACAAAGGTCAGCAAGAGAAATCCAGGCTCAATAATGCATGACTAGCAAGGGAACAAAGCCGTACCTTCTGGGGAGCACGGGTGTAGGCTTGCTGGGCCTTGTGCTGTGACTTCTCGCCATTTTTCCAAGTGAGCCAGACGATGAGGTCACCACTCGTATCCCGCGTCATGTCGACATGGTCAATCTGATCCTCCCAGCTGCCTGCCGGAGGCTTCCACGCTCCCGGCTTCCGCGTCTCGGATGCATCCGAATCCACCGCGGCACCGCCGTTGGCCCGGGATTTCTTGGTTGATGAGGGGGCGCCAGAGGTGGATGGCCGGCCTCGTTTCTTGCCCTTGGTTGCCTTCTCGCCAGCCTTGTAGAGGCCCTGCATCCCTCCAAACTTGTTCAGGTAATCGTCGAGGATGGTGTCGGCAGTGCCTCTGCACAAGTCACCCAAGACCTTTGGTCAGCGTGCTGTCACTGGCAAGCCGCACCACGGATCATGGTGGGGCTACGCGGCTATATCCATACCGAAGATTGTCCTCAGGCTCCCATGTCCGGTCCTCCTTCTTATCAAACCCCTCCCACTTGACCTCAAACCGCGGGTTTCCCTGGTTGAGGCAAGGTCAGCAGCGTGCCGCCAAAGGCTTTCTCAAGACACCAGCGTCACGGGAGCTCACATCTTCGGCGATCATGTGTGAGATGATCTTCTCGACGATGTACTCGTCGCCATCCTCCTCGTCATCTCCTTCATCTTCTTCATCGTTGGCGGCACCGCCGTCTTTATCGTCGTTGTCGTCATCGGCATCCTTCTTCGGGTCCGCGTACTTGACCGGCTTCTTCTCGCGCTTGGTGGGGATGACGTCGAGGCCGTTCTCTCCGTCCGACATGTCCTCGTCGCTGATAGCTGGAGGGCGGCGAGTTGAGGAACGCATGGTGTCAGCCTGTACTAGTCCTGGGCGAGTAGCCACCCGCGAGCCTTAGGGGCAGGTGCCTTGGGGGGGGGGGGGGGGGGGGGGG